TTTTTCTTTTTCTATTCAGTATTCACAAAAGGTTTTTGCTCCTTTAGTTTTCTTACTTTTATTTTGGTTTAAAATATTGGAAAAAATATTTAATCACCTCTTTCAATTCACCACAACATCACTATTTATTCTCCTTTATTCATCTTCTATATTACTCCTTATTTATTTCAAATGACATGCCACTTTCTCCTCTAATAATTTTCTTCACTTTTTTCTAATCATTTCCCTTTTTTTCATTATTTTTTTCAATCATCTAGCATTTGTTTACTTGATTAGTTACAAAGTTTGTTAGTTAGTTAGGAAGATAATTTCGGTTATTTATTTTTCATTTTCTATACTCCGTATATAGGAGTTAATCATGTAATACAAAAATTGAGCTAGTTAATACACTTGATTCCAACAAAATACAAATATAAATATAAAAAAGCAATTAGCCAGCCAAAAAATTTCTCTCTCCGGGGATTATTATTCCCCTCTCCTCATCTCTCCCCTCTAATCTGCTCTCCTTTCTAATCATTTTCTACTTTTCCCATCCACATAATCATATTCCCCCTTCATTCCCCCCTATTAGTGATGTCTTTAGAGGCCAACATGTAACACAATTTTTTAAATAAAATAATTCCAAAAGACTAAGATCTCACTTCGTAGTTCTCAATTTGTAATATAAATTGTGGTGAAGGGATTACTATAATGAAGTACTTTGATAACTATTTATGAAACATAAAAATGTAATTACTGGCAATATCTTAGCAAAATCTCCACCAAAGACGATTGTTTTTCCTCTGAGCGTTTGATTTTCACTCATTGAATTGAAAAATTCTAGAATATCGCACAATCTTCTTTTTTGCTTTTCGTCTCATATTTATATTTATAATATTTTTTAGTTAAAATTTATACTCCATGTATTTTAATTTAACTATCTGGCTCGCTTTTCAAACTTAAAGTTTGACCAACAATATCTCTTAAAATTTATTAGTAAAAAATATTAAAAATAACACACTTGATAAGTCTGTTTTGTATGCACTTATCTTATCTATATTTAATATGTTATTGGATTAAAAAGATAATTTCTCAATAGTTTTTATTAGTTTTTGTTTATAATTTTAAAAAGAGTAAATTCTATAATTGGTCCTTTATAACAGAGGAGTTTCCCTATTTAGTCCTCTATTATCAAATATTATCCCAGTGGTCATTATTTTATGGGTATCTTTCTATAAATAGTCCTTTTTTGATCTTCTATCATGTTGGTATTAATTTGAGGGCTAAAAATGTAATTTCACAATGATAATACATCTTTTTTAATTTGTTATACACAATTCCAAAGACTGTTCCGTTTGCGTCATTTGTGAATTATAGTCGCTTTCTACTACAACCATAGTCTACAAATGTGGTCTTTCGTCAGAATCCTAGCCCACAATCATAGTCATTATTTTTGTGTTATCTGCTTAACAAATATCAGAACACGTCACTAAACATAATGTTGATGTAAAATTATACGTTTAGCCTTTAAATTAACACCAACACAGCAGAAGATCAAAAAAAGGACCATTTGTGGAAAGGTACCCTTAAAAAAGGACTACGGGGGTAATATTTGATAATAGGGGACTAAATATGGAAACCCCCCTATTATAAAGGACCAATTATAGAATTTACTCTTTTAAAAATGCACAAAATTCATGTCTTGTTGTAAAAAGCATAAAAGTTGGGTCAAAACTGGTATAAAAGTGTGAAAAATTGCACAATTGGAAGCCTACGGAATAAGAGGGAAAAAAATTGTGAAAATCTAGGGAGTGAAAAATGTACATTCAAATGTGGCGATGTATCCCGTCAAAAGATTTGAGATCATAAGTTCAGATGAGGCCGAATCAGGCTTTGGAGCAAAAAGATTGAAGCAAAATGACAAAAATGTGAAAATTAGGTTGAATTCTTGTCCAGGACTCGGACTGGCGCACACCTAGACCCAAGCACACGCTTGTGTATGATGATGTTCCAAACCCGGTGCAAAATCATGAAATTTGGCGAAGGAACTGAGGGGACAAAAGCTCAGACACCAAACAAGCGTGCGGCTCAACCCAGGCGCACGCCTGGGATCTTCAGTCACTATAAAAATCGTGCGTCCCATCTCATTCCAAATTAGCCTACTTCGAGGTCTTTAAGGCTCAGACCCAATTTCTAGTTCCCATTCTTAGTTTTAATGCAATATGTTAGTATAAATATGTTTAGGTGGTCTAAAAGTGGCCCCAACTTTGCTCTAGATTGTAAAATTATTTTTACAATTTTTAATAAAATGTTTTTTTATTTTATGTTCTATAAATATCTAGTATGGGTTAGGGCCCAGATTAGGGCATGGGCTAAATTTGAGCATATACTATTTAAGCTTATTTAATAGTCGGAATAATTGTTTTAAAATCATTTTTATTATTGAATTAATTAATTATGTCGAGAGAAAAATTAGTTAATTATTGGAAATTAGTTTTTGCATTGTTTATGAGGATATAAAATTAATTAAGACAAACTTATTAGAACACATTAATATTGGTTGGAGAGAAGATAAGTTAAAGAAATATTTGTGAGAGAATTATTATTCTTCCATTCATTGATTAGATATGTGACAACAGTAGTTAGCCCTCAGATGATGCCTTGGCCTAAACTCTAGTCCTAAACCTGTATTATTTATTTTCTTTTTCTAAAAAAGTACTCAATAGTGTAATTTTTATTTTTCAAATCGAACCAAGAAGACTTTCAGGCATGTCCTAACCTTCACCTAATTAGAAAATTTAGCTAATTTCCGTTGTCCACTCCTGGAGAGACATGACACTCGGAGAAAACTAACCCTTCATGAGAAAGGTTGACTCCGCAAAAACTCAATCATCAAATGGCGTTGTTGCCGGGAAGTGGCACGACCTTAGTTTATTTTTTTTAATTAGCTTGGGTGAAGACCGGTTAGGTCGATCTTCTCACCTCTTTTCCACAAGCCACCTGTAATGATCATTAAAAATGAATTTTCGAAATGGTTACTATGATCCGCCTCCTTTCGACCAACAACCTAACCACCCACGATCATTTTTTGAACAATTTAATTATTACCTACAACATTCCAATTACTATCCATCATCACCACCACCATATTATCCACATCAGGAGTCAATAATGGACTTCAATGTTACCTGTACCATGAGGAACCACCATACGATACCACTTCTCAGAGCTTTGGATACTCTCCACACCAAGACAACTCTAGAGATTATTATAAACTTCATGGTGATCAAGATGATTACTACCAAGAAGAGCTGATGTACGATGACCAGCCACATTCACGCATTGAAGAAATTCTGTGGACTTAGGAAACAATACGTAATCTTGACCTATGGTGGGATGTTCATCATTTGAACCATCCTATTGTCGTGATTACTCTCTCTCTTATAAAGAGAAAATCGAAGCAAATAGAGATGCAATCTAGATAAGAGAACAACTTCTTAAAGGAGTCTAAGAAGAGTGACGATTGCTCCAAATCCAGAAGCAACTGAAGTTTGAAAGCAAATAGCGCGAAAATTTGGAGCATATACAAAAGATACTGGTAGACTTTAAGAAGGCTATGGAACAACAAAATATCCAGATTCAACGACAAGAATCTAAGACTTATACTGAATCAAACAATCTCTCGATTCTTGAATATCAACACACTCCATCACCACTATATATCAAAAATAAGATAACACTTGCAGAAATAATTGAACGGGGTAAAGTGGTGATGCTTCCTGAAAGCCCTCCAAGTCAAGTCATACAAGAGGTGGAGCCCACCAAGGATCCTGTCTCGGAAGTGCCTTCACCAAATGCACCACAAACGATGGAAAACCTGCCCTTGTGTTGAAGACACATCTCAAGAGGAACATGTTCTAAGGAAATCTAAGCTAATTGCCTTCCGTCTTGATTCTGAAATTGAAGAGTCTGAAGAATCTATATACGATAAAATACCTTCTGATGCTAAATCCATCCCTTCCATGGAAACTCTCACTGCTGAAGTCTCATGAGAAGATTCAGACAAAGCTTTCTTTGACTTCATACTTGATGGGTATGACCATTCTCATCACAAAAACATTTTGTGAAACCTAACTTGTCTATAAATAGTATTCTCTTTGTCCATTTAAATCTTTCCAGTTGATTTTTTCACTCTTAATCTAACAATTTATCATATATATATATATATATACATATATATATATATATGTATATATATATATGTGTGTGTGTGTGTGTGTATGTATGTATGTATGTATGTATGAACACAATTGCTATCCAAAAATTGTGTTCCTACTGAACACAAATGCTAGCCAAAAATTGTGTTCCTTACTGTATTTTTTAATGTATTTTGGGGTGGAAGTAGAGAAACTATAATGCAAAAACTGTGTTGCTTACTGCCCAACTAAACCCACTTAGAGAGTTAGAGATGCTGCAATTCTATACTTTATGTATTCGAATTCTTAGTGATCCATTACTATATTTCATCCAAAACTTAAGTTTTATGTTGTAACAGGCTCTAAAATGATTAAATTCCTAAAGGGGGCGTTTTGGAAAGACTGCAAATCCATTGCCTTGTCAAATTGAAGATCCAAAGGTACCAATTATACTATTTGTTTTTGTTTCAATTTGTTGTAATGATTTTATTGAGTTGAAAGTGTGAACAATTTTCTGGTATTCCCTTGCAAAGTGGTGTTCTGGGTTTTTGTGCAAATACCCTGAAGCAAGAGTCCTATATTTGCAGGGCTAGGTTTGTTTCTTACGGTCTCCCAAGGGGAAAGAAACACACTCACAAGGGGAAAGAAACATGTGTAACTACTCTCGAATCAAAATCCTCTCACAAGGATAAAGAAACACAAATGAAATAAACCTTTTCTCATAAATGGAACTACTCTCAAATCAAAATCCAAATATGGAATTGCACAGCGAGAAAAGCTCCAAGATAATGGATCAATCCAACAGGAAAAGGGAGAAGATCTTACCCTGAACGATTGAGGACGGAGGAGATCGAGATGATGAGCTCTTGCCGGAAGAGAAGAAGATTCACTGATGTAGGAGCTGAGGCGATCCAGAAGAAGAGGGCCGGAAGAAGACGATCTTTTAGATTCCACGCAAAATCCCTTGCCCTTTAGTTGGATTTGGAGAAACTTTTTTATTTATACTTGATGTTACAAATCCATCACAATCCATTCTTTTTAACAATCCTTAAAGATCTATAAACTTTTCAATACCATTAGATTTAGAAACATTTTTTAAAATCTTAATTGAATACTTCTAAATTTTAAATGATTTTGAAAAATCCTGATTGAATACCCACTAACTTTTGAAATCCAAAAAAATCATGTAGAGTCTCAATTGAATACACCCCCCTTAATCTAACAATTTATCATATATATATATATATATATATATATATATATATGTATGTATGTATATGTATATAGACACACACACATATATATATAATGTAATTTCCGAAACTATGTTTTAAAATGAATTAATTTACAATCAAAGTTTAAAACATTTGATTTTGAAAGACAAACTGAAAATATTCAAAAGGAACAAAGGAAGTACATAAATACTTACTCTGTACTATTTTAAAAATAAGACTTCAATTACGGAACATTAATTAACTACTAATTCCTATTAATCTTGTAGTTCAGTGATATCACTATATCACTATAGTTCGTTCAAATGAGAAGTCACAAGTTCAAACATCATTGATTAATAGTAATTTATATTGGCACTCCATGTATTAATAGTCGCACCCTACATTTTCGATTTTCAAAAAAGTGGACAATATTACCCTTCTAACAATATTTTGACAACATTAACAATTTGACATTGCCCTCATACTATTATTTACGGAGTATTTTTTTGATTTTTTAAAGGTGAAATTTGCACTAAATAGGACTAAAACATAATGACTTTTCTAATGGCGTAGGACTTAAACTTTTTTATTCCCTAAATTGGACTTAATAATGACCTAGTGTGAGGAATAATGTCCAATAATACTAGACATTTACTTGAATAATGACTACTTGATAATGACCAAAAGTCTTACATTGAGAAATAAAAATATGTGATCATATATTGGAAAGGTCATTATGTTTTAGTCCTATTTAGGTAAATTTCTCTTTTTAAAGGCTATAGCTATTAGTTCATCCATTCCACCCTCATACTTTCTAAACATTATACGGAGTACCAAAATGAATTATTTTGCCATTTTTTTCATTCTACAAAATTATTTTATTAGTACCTGAAAAAAGAAGATTCCATATGTTTATTTCTAAAAAAATATTTATATATTTTTTAAAAAATAATCACCATTTTTCCTTTTTACTACTTTTCAAAACAAAGGCTTAGGTAAATGTCAATAAATGTATATCATCATTAAAAATACAATTATTTTAAAAAAGATATATACTCGTATCTATTAATTAAAAAATATTTATCTAATGCATACGGTATATTTATTATAAAATTAAATGAATAAAAAATTTCATTGAGTAAAATTTAATTCAAAATATGATTTTATCAAAATATTAAAAGTTTTAGAAACTAAACCGGTTTCATACTAGGTAGACTTTTTCAAAGAAAAAAAAGGAGACAAAATTAGGTTTAAAATTTTAAATTTCGATGGTGAGTCGTATAAAAAATTATACTTCATGTAAAGCTTTATTTTGAAAAAGCAAACACATAATCATCGTTTTCAGATACTAATAAAAGAATTATATAGATTGAAATATTAAAATGGTGAAATGCATTTTGGTACTTCATCCGTTTTAAAATATAATTCCATCTCCCATTTTTATACCTCCCACAAAAAATTTCTTCCACACCTAAAATATGTAAAATACTCCTAAAATAACTTTTACACGTAATAAAGGAGATATGAGGTTTATTTTGGACATTTTAGGTAAGACTATATAAGTAAATATTTGTGTGTGTTAGAGAATAAATAAAGGTGAAATCATTTTTTGAACTAGAGATAGTACTCCGTATAATATTTCAAAAATAAGAGGGTGTGATTGAAAGCTAGCTAATACCCAGTAGCTTTTCTCTAACATATCTTGTATGCTAATAAGAATAAAAGTTTTTTTGAAAGAGGGGCAATGTTGTCCTTTTTGTTTTAGAGCACTGGAAATGGTCATGAAGTCCCGGGGCTTCAAAGTTTCTCTCTCTGCCACGTCAGCTTTAACTTACACCAAAAATTCACTGGAAATGGTTTTGAAGCCTCGGAGTTTCAAAGTGGGGCTTCAAACCTTCATTTTTTACATTTTTAAATATACATCTTCTAAATTTAAATTAATAAATTTAAAATAATTTATTATTTTAATTAATCGCAATGACACTAGTGCATTAAAAAAATTAAATTCATTATAAAAAAAATCTTACATTCATAAAAAAAACATTAAAAAAAATACATTCATAAAAAAAATTACTTAAAAAAACAACAGTACAAAGAAATCACTAATTATTCGAACGACTAAAGATATGATCGATCAAATCCGCTGTTAGTGCATTGTGAATCTCTCGGCTTCGAATTTCTTGGCGGTTGCGTCGTTTCTTTTCTTCGGTGATTTCTTCGTACATAGGCGCCTCCTCGTCCGGGTTGTATTGACAAAATAATAACATTTCGACGGACGATCTAGAATGTGCCACTTAGCCTTCAAGACCCCAAAGGCTCGTTCAATGTCTTTTCTCGCCGCCTCTTGAGCTTTTTTATATGTCTGGCGTTTAAGACCCATTGGTTCGGAGAGGGATTTCACAATCGTGGAATAATCCGGATATATTCCATCGGCCAAATAATATCCACGCTTGTAAAGCGTCCCTCTAAGCTCAAATGAGGAGTCCGGTGCGGTCTCATTAACCCAATCGTCAAAAACAGGCGATTGATCGAGAACGTTGATGTCGTTGTTCGAGCCTGCGACACCGAAAAAAGCATGCCAAATCTACAAGTCATTCGAAGCAACATCTTCGAGCATGATGGTAGGCTTGGGATGATCTCCCCGGGAGAATTGACCGTGCCACGCAGTGGGACAATTTTTCCATTCCCAATGTGTGCAATCAATACTCCCGAACATGCCGACAAAGCCGTGTTTAGCGGCATGCCTTGCCTGCAACTGCTGGATGTCGCTCGCTGTAGGCTTGCGTAAATATCTTTTATGATAAATTTGAATAATAGCTTTTGAAAATTTATAAACACATGACCTGATGCTCCGAGCTGACATCTTCAAGTATTCGTCGAACATATCGGATGTCGTCTCGTACGCCAACTGACGGAGCGCGGCAGTGCACTTCTAGATGCCACTAAACCTGCGTCGGCCTCTCGCATCAAACCGTTGGTTGAACCAAGGAACCTCGCGTTCAACATCGGCGAGTATGCGTAAGAAGAGAGGACGACTCATCCGAAAACGATTACTAAAATCCTCCGGTGTATAAACACATGGATTAGTAAAGTAGTCGTTTAGAAGTGAAGCGTGGGCGGCCTCTCTATCCCGGTTAAGACGTTGGTGTCGGGTGTGTCGTCGGGAGGATTCGGCTTCTTCTTGGCCATCTTCCCACCATTGAATACAATTCGTCGCGAAACAACGAAAAAATAAAGCTCTTCGTTCATCGTCGGAAGATGAACCCATTTTTAATTTATATTTTATAAATATTTATAATAAATAATAAATATTTTAGAGAGAATATAAAGAGAGATATGTGAGAGAGATGTGTGAGAGAATGATATTTTTTAGGGGAATTTATAGGTTTTTTTTTAAATTTTGAATTTTTTTTTATTTGGGGGGGGACGGCTAAAATAGCCGTTGGGAGGGGGGAGCCGTTGGGGATGACAAAGGGCCGAGCCGCGTCAAACGAATGACGGGCAGGCGATGATGCCCCTATAACGCCGCCAGGGGGCAGTGTTTAACGCTGCCGGGGCATTAAACGCCCCCTCACGTGTTAAATATATTCTATATTTAATGTAAATATATTGTTTCCTATTATTGTCTCCTACCTTGTATAGGATTAGGAATATATTGTTTCCTATTATTGACTCCTACCTTGTATAGGATTAGGAACCCTTGTATATATATAGACATGTACTCCCACATATTCAATCAATGAAATTAACCTTTCTACATGGTATCAAAGCCTAAAAATCAAAAACCCTAAACCCCCTCTCTCTCTCGTTCGGCCTTCTCTCTCGCCGTCAGCGCCGACTCTCCCTACGACAGCTCTCCTCACCGGCGACACCCTCTCCTCCTCGGCGGTCCTCTTCTTCCCCTCACCATGGCCGAAAACAGCGAGATCACTTCCCAAAATAACTCCTCCAAACCTCCTCATCTTGCTTTCACAACAATCTCAAACGTGAAACTTCATGTTCCCGTTCAACTCAGTCTCTCCCAACCTAATTACAAAAAGTGGAGCCGACTCTTCCTTCTTCTGGTTCGGTGATTTAACCTCAAGGGCTACATCGATGGCTCCGTCGTCCCCCTCTCTGATGATGACGACGAATGGTTCCAACTCGACGCTCTCCTCCAGGGTTGGATCCTCTCCACCATCACCGATGAGGTCTCAGATCTGGTCATCTCCTCTGTCTCTACTGCCTCTGCTCTCTGGAAAGTCATCCACGACTTGTTCCACGACAACAAACATGCTCGAGCTATGCAATTGGAACATGAATTTCGCACGACAGTCAAGGGCAACTCCACTATGGCAGCCTATTGCCAACAACTGCAGAATCTTGCCGACTGGCTGGATGATGTTGATGCACCAGTCTCCCAACACCAACTCGTCCTTCAAATGCTTCGTGGTCTCCCTGCCGATCTCCAGGGACAAACATCATTCATGCAATTTCAGGATCCCATGCCCACGTTTCTGCAGGTTCAATCCGCCCTCATGCTGCTGGATCGACAACGGAC